TATATTTATAGAAACACCCATGTTCCTGGTTCATATGAATGTTCGTAGTGATCGTGTAGCAAGTTACTCAAAAGAGAAAACTGCAGAAATGTCCTTTGTAACCAAGCATGTTACCAATGTTAAAAGTAAAAGTCTGTTTATGCATAGGAAGACCCGAGCCAAAGTCAAAGGCACTGTGCTGAAAGAAATGTACCATTTTCAACTTTAAAACACAATGTTTGAATGATTTCCTCATATACGCTAGAAAGACCAGCACATAGTGTGCAGTGGCTAATGCATTTGTATTTAGGGGAAGATTCTGAGCCATTATACAGCACACTCCAGTAAGCTTTCTGGGGAGAGTAAATGCTGAAGGGTTGGGTATACATAGGTAGGGTATACTTCCGATATCTCTTCTAAGAGTGACTTTCAGTAAAGAATAACATAGACAGTAAGTTGCCTTCTTATAGAGACAAAGGCTGCTATACAGAAAACAGTATGTCTTTGATACAACCAGGGTACTTTCCTGAATGCCAATAAACAGAACATAAGGAGGCTGATCATGAATTATGCTTCAAACAAGGCATGAAGTACCATTTCCAAATCTCATAAGATTCAAGGAAGAACTGCTTAATTCATGACACACACACACACACACACACACACACACACACACACACACAAATAAATGGCTTGCATTCAGGAAAAGGCAGAAAAAAGTGTCACAAATGTGGGTTCATCCACAGTGGCCTTCTAACCTGAAAATTCTTTCTCAAGAATCCAGTCAGACCTTGTACTACTATTACTATGGCTATGAGTTTATCTCTTTACATTTCTGTGCTGGAGATAATGGAGAACAAGCAGGGTCTGCTCTAAACTGGACAGGGAATTCTCCTTTTGGTCTTTCTTGACCTAAAACCGTACTCTCTGTTTTCATTTGCTTATTTTGAGTTTTCACTTTGCTTTTCTGAGAAGAGCAAGGAAGAGAGGAAGGGGCGGGGCAGGAGAATACATGCATTGAGTGTGTAGGGAGATAGGAAGGATCTTGGAGAAGTGGTATCCAAACATACAACATGAAAAAGTTTTAAACAAATTCTGTTTTAAATTCAGAATCTGAGTAATTCTTTGAAAGTCTTTGTCCAGCAGAGGGCGTCCCTGTCTCATATATAGGTTCTTTGTGCTATGCTCCTCTGTAAGGCAGGGCATAAACAAAGTTAGTTGAGGGGCACTTATGCTTATTCAGGAACACCGGGAGCCATCTCATGCTTCAAGGCAGATGAAACCTTATGGAGTTTGATGGTGGCTTAGAGAGTATAGGCTGTTATGTTAAGATCGACAGATGGCAGTAATGAAGTTAGAGATGACAGAGAAAGGACTTCCGAAGTGGCGAGTGCGGGGATTAAGAAAAGGGTCTGCCAATTTGAAATGGCAACACTGCTCTTAACTGGAAACCAAAGCCTTTCTAAGATGAGGACTATTTCCAGAATTTTAGCATGGACGGCAGAATATAGAACAGAATCAAGGGGTGATCCTGTATCCCTTTGGGGTTTATAACGGTCAGGGAGAAGGCGGCAAGGCTTTGTTTCTCCAACTCAGATGGCAAATTAAGGACATAAGCAACATGTGCAACGGAGTCGATATTTTTGAGGACACGGAGACTCCAGCCTTCCAGCTAGAAGGCAAAAGTTTCTTCCATCACAGTGCTATTTTTTTTTAAATCCACATTTGCTAAAATGGCCAGTTGATGTATAATCTTGGCAAATAATGGGTCCCTTTTCAGATTGCTCTAAGGTATAATGATTTAGAATAAAATTACCGCAAAAGATATCATATTTTAGATAAATATTCTGACATTGTTTTCTTCTAGCTTAATATCCTGAACATATCTTTCAATCCATTATCAAGGTCAGAAAACTTCATTTGAACTAGAGTTGATTTAACTAGCATATTACAAGAGAAAAATTGTTTTGGTGATGCCTCTTTATTAACAGTCAGCACTTAATACAAAGTGGTTTCTACTGCAGCCGTTGGACAGCTATTGAATTCTAGGATCTGGTTTTGAAAAAGTTAAGCATTAACTCTTCAACCTGTTATTCTGGTTTTTAGTCTTCTAAATTGGATGTCTTGGGGCAATTTGTTTTCTTCAGATATCTATGGTCTTTCAGCAACATCTTCCTAAAACATCTTGCCTGTTGCTTTTTGAGGGTCAAAAAATACTAGATGTTTGCCCCATTCACCATCAGCTCCCCTTGTGAGGAGGTCTTCACTTTGACTCCAAATTGTTTCTATTCGACATATCCCCTTTTGATTATTTTTTTAAATAAACCATCTGCATATTGGAATCCTTTAATAATGCAGTCAATCACAATGATTTAAGGCAAACTGTAGTAATTCCCTTCATAACCTTATTCAAATCTGCTTTTCTATGTGACTCTATTTCATTCTATGTCAGTTTAATCAATTGACACTAATGCTGATCTGATACTCCGTTCTTTGAATTAGAGGGAGATGCAAGAGCGCAGGAGTCCTTGTTTGTATGTTTTGTGGAAAGGTTTCCCACTTAGTTGCTCAGAAGGGTTCTGTTGTCCTCCATTGCATAGCTAAAAGCTTCGTAAAATGTGCACCTACATTAGTACTTTGAATTTCTTCCCACTTTCTGCTCTTTGTTTTCACATATCCTGACTCTGGCTTCTGCTTACTACTTTCACAGTGTTTGGCGTTAAACTCTTCATTGGCATATTCAAATAACTTAGTTTTACATATATAATGAAAAAGTCCTTTGTTACTTCTCACATACTATCTAACACAGGTTCCCAGCCATTAACGTTTATATCGGTTATGTGGTGAGGAACTTTTCTACTGTAGTCCCTGTAGGAGCCAGCTGTGTATGAGGTGTAGGTTCAAAGTCCAAATTTTAACGTGTGGGAAATTTTGTCTAGTACCCACACAGAGACAAACAAAATCTAGAAAACCATACAAATGACCAGACAAATCTCAAGTTTCATTAAATCCTTATGCCGGTTTATTATCATGGTGTACCTCTTCCTAGCCAAAGCACTGCTTAATTTTAATATTGCCAAGTAATAAAGATAGAGCTACTGGATGGTCAGGCTTCTCTTACTCTCCAAATTTTAGTAAAACTTCGTCACAATGGATCTTTGGTGAAACTGTGTGCATTCAGGAAGGTCAAAGGTGGAGTTGGGTCCAATTGCCCAACAAAGGTTGCTCCGCAACAGCGGGATAACTTTGCCACTTGTCCTAAGCGGCAGAGCAACAGGACCGAAGGTAATAATCCTTGAATGAAACTTGTTTGCACATGGAGAGCTGTTTGACTTACTACTTTTATGGAAAAAGAAAAAGAGAAATGATTGGGCACAGACAGAGGTAAAATTATGGGAGGTTTATGAAGCAATTTGTGCGGGAGTTGAAGCGACGCCTCGCTGGAGATCCGATGGCCTCAGAAGCAGATGTGCAACTGCTCACGGGCCAGTAGGTGGCAGAGAAGTTCTATCGTTGCGGCTTCCACCGCTTTTTTTTTTTTTTTTTTTTTTTTTTTTCGGAAGGATGGGAAGAAATGGGGTTGAATTTCTTGATTCATACAGGCAAGAGGTGGCAAGAGGCCGCTCTCTGTCCCTGTGGAAAAACTGTGACCTTTGGGCACTGTTTTCACTTGAACTACATTCACATGGACATGAATTCATCCCCCCGCCCCCCCGCAAGCCCCTGTTCAGTCCTCTGCCAGATTTCTCTCCTTGGGGTCCTGTAACTAAAGGCTAGCTGCAGATATTAAGCCACTTCAGACCTTATCATCTTTTCCTCACTGTGCACGAGGATTAACCCTTTCCTCTTAGGAATTTTTCAAAGAACTCAACCTTTCCACGAGGTGTCTGTCCTGCAGTTGACGGCCCTCGCCTTGTAATAGCCACCTGTAATCTGCAAAATCTTAAACTCCTTAAACCCTAATTTTCTTCTCTCATGGCGGGATTCTACTACTTTAGGGGCGCATGCTTCCATTCTGGTACCAGTGTAGGGCACTGATGCTTTCCACATTTGAGATATTAGACGTCTTCAATGGACCATATGACTGACAAGGTTCACATTTTTTTCTTGGCTCATAAACCTAGATTTTTATGGTTCTTAGGTAGAGAATCCCCCTTTTCCAAATACTCTTGAGAGTTTCTGCTTGGAATTATACTTTTACCACCAGGCCACTATATATGCAATTTAATAGCCTATTTTTTTTATCTTTTAGCCTCAACTAGAAATTAGACATGATGTCTCATTTGAAATTTTATTGTGAAAATTAAATCAAAGGGGGCATACAAGCCCCTCTTAATTTAGCATGTCCTACTTATACAGTTTTATGTTTAGTTTAAGGAAATCTCAGGTACCACAGGTTTCTCCCACCACAATCCGTATATCACTTTAAATTGAACGGAGTACTCTTCTGGGAAGCTGTCAGTACCCATGGGTTTTACTATCACTGATAGTATTCTTGTTGTTTGTGTGTGTGCCCGGAGTGTGTTAAAGTTTGGGTCCCATCCATCCTACTTCAAAATTAGAATAAAGACAAACAATTCATGCTTTGCTAAAAGTATATTTATGTAGACAGATTTTTACTTTTCTCCAGACAATATTCTACTGATTAATGACCAAAGAACATTTTATTATGATTTTACATAAGCAGAACAAGAAGGATAGACTGTCCAATCACTTATCAAGGGTAGCACAACTCTGGCACCAGAACATAACATTTAGAACACAAAACAGGGAAACACCAATCTCATTTAGAAACACAGATGCCAAATTACAAAATAGCACAGTAGCCAGTTCAAATCAGCATTTTACAAAAGTGTACAAAGCTTTGGCAAATATAAAAGCGGGCTGAAAATTGAAATTTACAGACAGAACAATAGCAAAAACAGCAAAAACACCAGAAATCACAATGTACCCCCTTTTTCCCTGTCCCCCCTCCTTCTCCCCCCTCCCCCCTTCCCCCTCCCCCCTTCTCCCGCTCCCCCGTTGTCCGTTGCCTTTGGCCTGGTACGCATTGTCCGTCGCCTTTGGCCAGGTACCTATTGTCATTTGCCTTTGGCCTGGTACCCATTATCCGTTGCCCCCTTCTCCCGCTCCCCCGTGGTCCGTCGCCTTTGGCCTGGTACCCATTGTCTGTCGCCTTTGGCCTGGTACCTACTGTCCGTGGTCTTTGGCCTGGTACCCATAGGAATAAGTTCATCTTGGCAACACCTATTAATGAGGGTGGGCACTGCTGGTGGTGCCATGGGAATCATCATCGCTGTCATTGGGCTCCTCATTTGTGTTTGTGTATTCTAACTGTGCCAATGACTGAAGGTACTGGCCTGTCCAGATCTGGGCCTGGTTTTCATAGAGTGAGGCCAAAAACCTGAAGATGTGCATCTGATTCGCCTCGAGGAATGCCCGGGGACCCCAGAGAAGCTCGTATTCTGCAGGCTCAGTGAACGGGATTTGCCTGTACTCTAGGTACCTGTGCCTCACAAACACGCTGGTGATGAGCTGCTTCGTACTTCTGAAGAGACCACTTGTTGCGTGGACATCCAGTCCTAACTGGAACAGAAAACTAAAGAGCAGATTCTCCCTGATACAGTAGCCTTTCATAAAGATGAGGCTCAGGACCACCATCAAGAGGTTGAACTTTGGCCTGTCTAAGTAAGATGTCAGCATATTGCACTGAGGGTGCCCCGTCTTCTTGACGATGATGTAAGTGTGGGTTTTGGTGTCAATTTCCTTCAGTTGACACCCATAGGAGCTCTCTAACTTAGCATTGGCACGACTGATGATGTCTAAGCTGTCATCTTTATATTCCCTGATGACAGCATTCACCATCTCTGAGAGCTGGACGGGCACCCTGGCTTGGTCTTTGACCAAGAGAAACTGTACCAGAGCATTTGCCCTCTCATCTAAGGGAGATAATGCCTGACTCTCCCCATTAGGGTCCTCCTGAACAGCACTAGATCCTCGAGAGACACTTGGCACCTCAGAGACCATCCATGGCTGAGACCCCCCTGAGGCACCACAGAACCGGTGGTCCTGTGAAGTGCTGGGACCATCGAAGCCCCTTGGAATTCTAGAGTTATTGGGGCGTCCCCAGCCATTCAGACCCTGGGAAGTGTAGAGGGGTTCCTGTTCCCCCAAGAGCTGCATAGCTCTTTGCATCTCCCAGTCATTCTGCCTGGGATTCTCACAGGGTCTGGGGCCCCGCCAGTCACGTGAGGCCATCCTTTGGCCACCGTCGTCCTCCTTGGGTTCCAGATGCTTCTTCTTCCTGGTGGCTTTGCCGGAGCGCCGTGGTGGCTCTGCAGACTTCGAGGCCTCTGCGATGGTGGCACTTGCCTCGGGGGCAGCTGCTGTCACCATCAGGATGGTGGGCACTGCCTTACATGCTGATGAACTGTTCACATCAGCATATGGGACCCAGGGAACTGCAGGCAGGGCCTCTACGCAGGCATAAGGGTCCTGCAGAGCAAATGGCAGTGACTTTGGGCTCTCTGAGGTGGCAGATGGACCCCTGAAGCCATTAGAAGAAGCAGGCTGAAAATGAGAGGTAGATGGAAGAACCCTTGAGGTGGCAGTTAAGGTCTCTGATGTGGCAGGTCCATTTCCCCAGGCAGTTGGCAGGTATGCCCTGGAAGCTGATGCTGACCTTGGAGCACAGAAGGTGGCACCAATGATCATGCGATCTTTGGGAGGGCCCCTTCTGCCCCTTGAAGAGCCCCTACGATCTCTGGGAGGGCCCCGAGGTTCTACAGAAGTGGGGCTAGGTTCTCCTGACGGAGGCATGAGAGATCTAGGGGAGCCCCTGGGAAAATTTGTCCGTCCTCTGGAGGCTCCACGCTGTGCCTGCATGGTGGGGGCTGGCCCTTGCCAAGAAGGCTGCAGTTGGATTGAGGGCTGTTCTGCCTGCATGCCTGCGGGTTGGGCCTGGTGGGCAGCTCGCCGAGTTTGCAGGACCTTGCGGGAGGGTTGAACTCCCCGAGAGGGCTGCTGCTGCTCCACACGGGTGGGCGGAGTGGCCTGCTCCTGGGCCTCCTGGGCAGACCCAGACTGCCAGAAGTGAGTGCGTACCTTGGGTGCCTGCCAGCCCATTGCCTGGGCCTGCTGTACCTCCTGGAACTCCAATGACACGGGGAGCTCCTGTGGTACTGGGAGCTCCCGTGGCACCTGGAGCTGCTGTGGCACCCGGACCTCCTGTGGCACCTGGACCTCCTGTGGCACTGGGACCTCCTGTGGCACCTGGAGCTGCTGCGGCTCCTCGACCTCACGTGGCACTGGGACCTCCTGTGGCACCGGTACCTCCTCTGACTCCTGGAGCTCCTCTGGCACCTCGACCTCCTGTGGCACCTGGAGCTCCTCTGGCACCTCGACCTCCTGTGGCACCTCGAGCTCCTCTGGCATCTGGAGCTCCTGGGGCACCTCGAGCTCCTCTGGCACCTGGCGCTGGCCTCTGGTGGCCTGCCAGATGATGGATGGGCAATGCACAACTCGGGGAGCTGACTGAGAGGCAGCCTGGGGCACAGGAATTGGGATAGATAGTGGTGCTGACAGCATTGGATGGGACACCTGTGGGCCTGTCTGTGGCACCAAATGTATCTGAGTAACTTGAGGTGCTGTTTGTGGCCCTGGCATCCTGGGAGCCAGGAGACGAGCCTGTGGAGCCTGACGCAGTGGAGGTGGGGGTGGCAGGAGTTGCCACAGCGGAGGCTGTGGTTGTCTGACAGGTGCAGCGGTGGTCTGGTGGGTCAGTGGTGGGGTCTGACGGACCACAGGTGGCATCTGGCGGAGTACTGGAGGTGGTGGTCCAGGTCGAATGGGTGTGGGACCAGAACGAATGGGTGAGGGCCCTTGGCGCACAGCAGGGGTCTGCCAGGCTAGGGTTGGGGTCTGCCAAGTGACCTGCGTGGAATGCCAGGCCAAGGGCGTCCCCTGCCAACCCTGGGGGGTCACTTGCCAGTTGGGTGTGGTGGCTTGCCAGCCTGGGGCTGTGGCAAGCTGCACCTGTGGTGTTGATGGAATAGGGGGAACCTGTTGAGGAGTTCTCATGAGTTGAGACTGGATTTGCAGGATCAAAGGCTGACTCTGTGGGGCCCACGAAGCCAGAGGTTGCCCTGGGGGCAATACTGGCTGAGCAGTCGGTGCTCCTGACACTGGAGTCTGAATGTTCGGAGCTCTGGCACCTGGAGGATGGATCATCACGACACCAGGACCTGGATGCTTGGCCATCTGAGTTATTGAAGACGAAGGCTGGGTCATCAAGGTAGCCTGCGGAGGAGGCTGGACCATCGGAGCTCCTGGAGCAGTCGGCTGGACCATCAGGACTCCCGGTGACAGCTGCTGGGCCATCAGGACTCCTGGAGTTGGTGGCTGGGTCCCCGGAATTGCAGCGTGCGGTATTGAAGTTCCAGGTTGGGGAGGATGAACCATTGGGGCCCCAGGTGTGAGAGGATGGACCATCGGGTTCCCAGGTACAAGAGGATGGCCCATAGATGTCCCAGGATGTGGAGGGTGGGCCATCGGGGTCACAGGCGGAGGAGGAGGAGGGTGGGCCATTGGGGTCCCAGGAAGAGGGTGCGCCATCTGGGTCCCAGGAGGAGGCTGAGGGTGTGTCATTTGGGTTCCTGGGGTTGTATGATGAGCCAAAGGGCCCCCCGGGACAGAAGGATGCAGCATCAAGACTCCGGGAGTTGGAGGCTGGGTCATAGGCCCTCCCAGCGGGGGAGCCTGGACCATTGGGGCCCCTAGTGAAGGAGGCTGGGCCAGCTGAGCCACTGGGGCAGGCAGCTGGCCCTCTGGAGCCTCCCAGGCAGGCTGAGGAGCTTGCCATGAAGCCAGGGGAGCCTGCAAGTCCACTGGAGGTGGATCCCAAGGGACTGGAGGAGCCCGGGACGAAGCAGGCGGAGCCCGCATCAGAACCGTAGGGCGGCTATGGACCTGGACCGGAGGCAAAGGGGAGTCCGGTGGGCTGGAATCGCCCGGATTCGTACTTAGCTGTGACATGTCCCTTGCTTGACCGGTGGCGGCTCGTCTCCGAGCGCTGCGCTTCTTCTTCCAGGGCTGAGCATGCCGACGTGGCTGTCCAGGATCCCCCTCCAGCCTGAAAGCTGAAAAGGGAGCGAGCCAGCCTGACTGGCTCGCTCCACCGCTCCCGGAGAATGCTGCGTGTTTTCTCCGTAGCACTTAGCGAGGGCTGCCCGGCTGGCACCGGCAGCCCTCAGCAAGTACTGCCTGGATCCCTCCAGAGCTCTCAGCGAGAGCTGCCTGGCTGGCACCGCAGCTCTCAGCGAGAGCTGCCTGGCTGGCACCGCAGCTCTCAGCGAGAGCTGCCTGGCTGGCACCGCAGCTCTCAGAGAGCTGTCTGGCTTCCTCCGCAGCTCTCAGAGAGCTGTCTGGCTTCCTTCGCAGCTCTCTGCCAAGTGACTGGTTCACTCCGCAGCGCAGCTCGCAGTTAGCAGCTCACAGCTCAGCTCGCATGAGACTGCCTACTGGCTCTGCAGCTCTCCGCAGTAAGAAGGAGGAGGGAGGGGGCTCGATCCCGCCTCTTCCCCGCCCCCGACCACCACAAGTGGATTGTGTAGAGGGGCGTCTACCAAAGTCCTAACTGACACAGAATTGAGTCTCTTGCTCTATAGTTTCCCAATTCAGCCAATATAGCCTCTTTAAACATAAAGTTTATATAGGCAAATAACAACGCCAGATTTATACTTCAGAAAAATGACCGTGCTGAATTATGAAGTAGGGATAGACCACTAGCAACATGGAACATGTCCAAAGGTGGGGGTGGTGGTGTGGTCTGAGCTCAGAAATGAAGCATATTGACGTAAGAGGGACTGGGGAGCTATACCAGACAGCTATTACAATTTAACGAAGGTTTAGAAAAACGGAGAGTATATTCATGTATCTGTCTCGGAAAGGTGTGAATTTTCAGGAGTGGTTTATTCTCTCCGTGATATGGAGGGTGGGGGCACAAAGTAAGAGAGACGGATAAACACTCTCCAAGACATGGGGCAGCCAACCTGGGATACCCTGGGTTCTATAACTGTATGAATTCAGAGGATCTTGGGATCAAGTCTGTCCATTTTAAAAAAAAAAATCAGAGCAACAGGAGTGAACATGGTTGCAAAAGAGTATGTTAAGAGAGAGAGAAAAAATCTAAACTCATCTAGAAGAATAACACTGACTGCGTCGTAGAGATAAGCAGGGAAAAAAACGAATCAGTTAGAGAGGAAAGGAAAGGAATCTTGAAAGTTAAGTAATAGAAGTTTGTGGAGGCAGCATTTTTTAATAAGGGAGAATCCACCTGTCAAATGAGTGAGATGAGACAATAGAGTGAGAAAGGCATTCTAAAAATCAAAAAAGAAGGAGCAAGCCATAAAACAGAAAACTGACTAGCAGATACTTCCAAATATATATACAGAAAAACAGGGAATAAAAGAAGCTTTCTGGAAAGTCAGTTAAACAGTAGGGCATATGTCATGTTAATGGATAAAGCAGGAGACACCAAAAATTCCCATGTGATGGGTTTTTCTTCTGAAAATTAAGTCACAATCTCAGTTTCGTTGAGGAATTTTCTGGATATTTACAAGGCACTTAACATTATGGCTCTCTTACAAGGGGCTCCTTGCTGCCTAGGGCAAGAGTCCAATGTGAGGAAAGTAAACCACAAGGGGGCAGAAGAGGATGATGACCACTGCACCCCACTTCTAAGATACCCTTAGTAAGTTTTTTTAATTTGGGGACCCCAAAGAAGAAATGTGCTCCAAGACTACTCTTTCTTAAATAATTAGAGAAGAATTTGGGAGTCGTTAATTCGGAGAATGTCTGGCCACTGAAATCATGTTACAATAGCAATTCATGACAATCTATCGCATTTGCGTTCATGTGTTCAAGACAGAAACAACCTTCTGTAGAATGAACACTGCCGTGCTGTCCTCGTTTTCAGTCCTTACCTAGGGTTCCTAGCCCCCATCCCTATGGGAATTGGGACAAAGGCGGTCAGAATCCTTTGAGAGGAATCAACTATAAAACAGAATCCCCTTACTCTCTATTTCTGCTCTGCCACATGGCTGTTTCTAACCGTGGGTGGTTTGATGAGAATTGGTTCTTTTTCCTCATATGCTAACTCACATAAATAAACACATCAGATTAAGTTCTCCCACTAACCATTTGTTTGCTAGGATTGTGACAGATTTGGCTCTCAGTTTGCCAAAGTGTAGGTCATCACAAATGGCAAATGATTTTCAGTAGGGCATGGCTATTCTCACTGCCTTCGACATCCCTGAATAGTTCTGCCATAGTACACCAACTCCCACCAAACCTGTTTTAAGAAAAGAGCATCCAATTATGTTAACAGACAACACACCAGCCATAAAGAAATGATTAGGAATGATTCAGGGAGACAAAGAAAAAGATATAGGCATAATTGGAAGCAAATGATAAATAAGTCACAAACTGTACACTAGCCACTCATCGGTAAAATATGTCAACAACAGAAAAAATTGAGAATTGAGTATTTTGAGATTGTAGAGGGGCTGGTAAAAGTGGGCACTTCCTCAAAATACAGATCTGTGTATGCTGAGCTATTAGAGTTCTCCATCTCAAATCATATCCAGATACCTAGGAGCGTATGGTTCCTTTATGAAAACTGACCATCTTAAAAACTTAGAAATTCAAGTGTCTCCAGACTAGAGAGACGTCTGTAGCACAATTCCCAGTGCCCTTTCTCTTTGTGAAATCTTTCAGTTTTCAGAGTCCCCCCTTAGCCTTTTGTGAGACTGGAGCCTTTCTTCTCCGTGATTCTGAGCCAAGCGTTCCTCCTCTACATAAGGACTTGAGAATACGAGAAAAACTCATAGGAAACCTGATGGAAATGAAAATGAAACATTCATGGAATTTTGACATCTGTACGTCCTTTAAGGAACTTAAATCAGTATATAAAATACGTGAGGAAATAGTTAAAAAAAATGAAGATGGAAAACTCTCTCCCTGGAATCATAGGCACGGCGTTCGATTTGAGAGCTGATGAGAGCTTTGCTTTGGCATATTGAGCGGTTAACATCGAGCGGTCAGTAAGGGGCTGTGGAGGGAAGCTGAGAGATCTCAACACCAGAGCTGGTTCTCTGTGTATCTAATTTAGGGGCTTTTTTAAAATAGAGACTCCAAAGTGAGGGGAAGTAAGTTGTGATTTTAACAAACTCTGAAATAATTTCTTTATGAAATATCCTTTGTCAAAATTTACTAGTTCCTAGAAGTGTGCTATATATAAAACTACAAACAAAAACTGTGAAGAAAGATCTTATTGTTTATATATACAGATATTAATAGTATGATTTTAGTGCAACAAGGAATCACTGTGAAAAACCACATTGGTCACAAATAAGAAATTGACACAAATAAGCAAGTATTCACGTCTGCCTGGAGCATCAATAGTGCATCACGGAAAAAAGAAAAAAGAAAAAAAAAGCCTGTGAAGACTCTTGAAAGCTCTCCAGATAGACAGACTGTAAGAAAATAAAATAAAAAACACTGGAGATATCAGACATAGAAATAGTTTGAAAGAAAAATCATAGGGGCTTTACTAAAATAGCAAAATATTATTTATTGCAAGATTGTTACATGATAACATATCACCTTCCTTCATATCTTTATATATACTATTTGTTGTTTAAAATAAATCCTTAAGTATTTGGTTTCATTTTGTATACAAATAGTGTAGGATCAGAATGTTAATTTCTTTGCTTAAGATTTGGCAGTAGATAGCAGAATGCAGATTTTTCATACTTTTAGTATGTTTGTAGCCGCAGCCAGCAGTTTTGTCACCACAAAACCAGTAATGCCCACTTAATATTTTTACGTAGTTACAAATGCACACATCTAAAATAGTTTTAATTAGTCCTGTCATACAGCATCTAACATTCAGAGGGTATTTTTTTTTATTGTTAAAGAGGATTCTCATATGCACTATAGCTAGTTTCTTCTTCCTTCAGAAGCAAACATTTCCTCAACTGCTTTGTGTTCTGCTTGCTTAGCTAGTTCTCTATGTTCATAACCGGCACCTGTATGTAGATACTCTTTTGATCTAGATTCTGTTGTTTGATGCACTATGCTAAGATGTGGACCTTTTGTTCCTATTGAAAATTGGTTATCGGGGGCTGGAGAGATGGCTCAGAGGTTAAGAGCATTGCCTGCTCTTCCAAAGGTCCTGAGTTCAATTCCCAGCAACCACATGGTGGCTCACAACCATCTGTAATGGGGTCTGGTGCCCTCTTCTGGCCTGCAGACGTACACACAGACAGAATATTGTATACATAATAAAGAAATAAATATTAAAAAAAAAAAAAAAAAAAAGAAAATTGGTTATCTAACACTGAAATTGTTAGAATTGTATGAGCGACTCCACAACTCTCTAAACTATTGGCTACTAGTATCTGAGATAGTTATAACCCCGTGCTATTAGTAAGTCCTTCCTTTGTCCACGGTTATAAATGCCTTAATTTATTTTAGCTAAAGTACGAGGAATGAATGGGGAAGTCAAAGGTCTGTTTTTTGTTTATAGGAGTCTGAAGCAGTCGCTACAGTTGGGTCGGGGAATTTTATACTCTGTCATAATATAAAGGGATTCCAGATACAAAGTTGCAAAATTTCATAAGATTAATCATTTTGATGATAGTATTATAGTGAATGTGAAATAGTGTTTGTATAATTTTATATTAAGATTGGCAAGTATGAATATGCCATTCTTGTCAAATTGATACTGATGGGCATGTTAAGTTAATTGTCATAAAAATTACAGATATTTATGCGGTGTGATGATTAGCTACATCTATATACTTTGTAGTTACTAAATAAGAGTAATCAGGTTTTTCTTATCTTCTTAACTAGTGATTATTTCTTTATGTTTAGAACCATACAATAAACTCATCCTAATTTTCTATAAAAATACAGTAAATTATTGAAAATTACCATCATTATAAAGTACTGCAGAATAATAAAGCTTATTATTCTTATCCAACTGTATTTTGATGAAAGCTCTCTTGCTCCCTTCTATTCCCCTCCCAGTCTTCACCGTGATACCAGCGGTTATTATCCTACTCTCTCTGCCTATTACATCAAATTTTAAACCTCTATTAAGGGTTGAGAACAAGTGCTCTTCCTTTTGTGCTCAGGCTTTTATTTCCTACAATGCCCTCCAGTTCCATCCACGATGCAGCAAATGACATTTTTTTTTCTTTTTTTCTTTTTTCTGGCTGAATCCTACGTTGTGGATATATCATGGTTTTTTGAGTCTATTCAATTTTCTGAAGGACACATCATTAATTCCATATGCTGACCACTATAAACAATGTGATAATAAACAGGGGACGCATGTATTTCTTTTCGTTGTCATTGTTGTTGTTGGATATCTAGATATTTAATCCATTGGCAGCCGGGCAGAGCTGGAATGCACGATGAAGCTCTGGTTAGTCTA